ACAGAATTCAGCGGTAGTGTAGACACAGGTTTAGTTTTGTCGACAAAAGTCCACTTTTGTCGACAAAACCCTATAGTCTAGACACACCCATACATATATAATAAAAGCATTCAAATATTGTGAGATTCATATGAAAAAATACAAGTTGGCAATACTGAAAGTTTAACTAAAACTCACAACATAGGAAATTTCAGAAATGGGGAAAGTCTGTCAGTCTTAAAATGCCTGGCTAAGTAAATTGAGTGGCAAGTCTTTCCTGATCTACTTAGGAGAAGCTCAGCTCCTCACAATTCTCCCTTCATCTTACATCAAAGATTTAAATGGAAAAATATTTCCTTTTACACAATTTCACTGGAATGTTAAAAATAAAGATGGTCTTTCTTTCTTCATTGTTCCTCTATTTATCATCAAGCCTTTTAAAAAAACGTGGAAGTTAAAGGATGAAGTTATATATTTTAAGGGCATTATTTAGTAAGCACCAAAAAAGAACATCATAAAAATGTGCTAATGATGTCAAAAGTGGTTAAACAAGCCCTAATTTAGGGATCACAGTTAATAATAAAAAATGACAGATCAGCAAAATGAACGAATACAATTGGATATTTTCATCCAAAGGTGTTAATTGTAATAGGCTGTTATACTGTACTCACATAGTTTATGGAATAATGATATTTGTTCAATTGGCTGAGAATTACAAAAATGGACTGTCTAGGTTCTGTGCCAGCTGTCAGTGGTTATTAATTACCTGGCAGACTATTATATTGCCACATGGCAGATGAGAGACTGGAAGTGACTTTTTCAATCCTGAGTCAATAAGAGCCAACAGCTTCAGTGAAATAACATTTTGAAGCTTTCAGGAGGCAGGGAAATAGGGGGAACAAGGAAGAGGGGTTTAATGAGCATTGTATTCTAGAAGCACTGATGCTGAATGTCTGAAAGGAGAACACTAGTGAAGGTTTCTCAACCAGAAGGCGAGAACCAAAATGTTTCAAAGGGTCACATAGCAGCACCTATAGGCCTAACCTGCTCCATATACTGCAACCTCTGGGGTTCCAGTGGCATTCAAGTTTGGCCCAGCCATCACGACAACAGGAGTCTGGATAGGCCAAAGTTGAGTGAATGGCACTGCCACCCCTAAGTCATGTCACAGCCTCACTTTTGGTCCAATAAGTGAGGCAGAGCTAACCCTGGGTATGTCTATACTACCACACTAGTTCGAACTAGGGTGGTTAATGTAGGCAACTGAAGTTGCAAATGAAGCCCGGGATTTGAATTTCCCAGGCTTCATTTGCATATTGCCGGGCACCGCCATTTTTAAAGCCTTACTAGTTCGGACTCCGTGCCCGCGGCTACACGCGACACGGACTAGGTAGTTCGGATTAGGCTTCCTATTCCGAACTACCGTTACTCCTCGTGGAACGAGGTGTACCGGTAGTTCGGAATAGGAAGCCTAGTCCGAACTACCTAGTCCGTGCCGCGTGTAGCCGTGGGCACGGAGTCCGAACTAGCGGGGCTTTAAAAATGGCGGTGCCCGGCAATATGCAAATGAAGCCTGGGAAATTCAAATCCCGGGCTTCATTTGCAACTTTGGGTGCCTACATTAACCACTCTAGTTCGAACTAGGGTGGTAGTGTAGACATACCCCCTGAGTGGACTGTAGACTGAGTGGTGCTGCAACCCAAGAGGTTGCAATGCCTGGAGTGGAGACACAAGCCTACACAGCTTCATAGCACAAGAGTTGCAATTGTGGGATGAGTGCAGGGCAGGACCCAACACCCCAGGGTTGAGGGATGCAAGATCTGACCAAAATTGCCCTAGGAAATAGTTGAAAGTAGGGCAACCACAAAGCAGCTTGTGTGCCTCAAACAGGTGAACCTAGGAGACTGGAATTGATGGGGGAGCATTACCTGCACACTCTGACACACCTCAGTGGGCCAACCAGCGTCTCTGGTTGGGGAAGATCAACCAAAAGACTAGGGGTAGGGACATGACCTATGTGCTCCTATCCCCTCCAGTGATGGGTGCAAAATATGCTTGCTCGCTCCAGCGGCTAAAGGGCCTAGTTATGGTTCTGCTCAGGGCATTCACCCCAGAGCTATTTATTGAGTTGTGATAGGGTATAAACTACAAATCAGAATCCCTTGTATCTCATAGTTTTGGAAAATGCTAGAATTCAGCTGCTGTTATTTCCCATTGGCATGGGACAAAAAGAGCACAACAGAATGTATAAGCTACTATAGAACTGTTTCAGTGCAATAGACATTGGCCATGAAACTGCATGCAATTATTTTTGTTTCCTGCTAGACTATGAAGATGAGCTCTGCCACCTGCCTGTTGCTAGAAATTATCAATATAAATTAATTTTTGACCATGTTTGAAAGTGTGAAATACAGCAAAAATTAATTTACAGTGACTATTTCTAGTTCAAAAGAATATATTGTCATCTCAGACAAGAAACTAAAAGGCAAAAGTGTTGGGAAATGTAACTATTATTCCGATAAATTTTGCTACGGTAATTTTCTGACTAGTTTTGTTTCTGTTATTGTGAATGGGATAAATCATATTGTGTACTGATTAGAAAAATATGATCGCGCATGTCATCACAGAACTTGCACATCAACATGGGTGTGTCTAGACTACCAGGTTTTGTTGACAAAAGTGGATTTTTGTCAACAAAACTATACCTGCATCTACACTACTGCCGAGTTCTATCGACATAACCTCGACAGAACTCAGCAGTTTTGTCGATGGTGGTTAACCTCATTCTTCGAGGAATAACACCTTTTATTGACAGTTTTTTCGACGGAAGGCGTTATTGCATCTACACTGTCCTTTGTGTTTACTCTCTCGTGTCAACAAAGCAACTTGCTTTGTTGACAGAACTGGATGTAGTCTGGATGCTCAGTGTCGACAAAAACCTGTAGTCTAAACGTACTCCATAAGTATTTCTATGGTATCCTATCAAATACTTGTTATCCAAATTCCTTTTATGCAGCAGTAAGCATAATGAATATTGCAACTCTGCAGCACTGCTGAAACAGTAAAATAATCCCTATTGCCATTAGTTGTAACTGGATAAAATGCACAGGAAATTACATGTGAGCCTCGCCTTTATTTAAAAAAAATTTTTTTTAACACATTATGACTGTGGGATAATTTTTCACAGCATTGAATGTTGAACAATTTCCAATGAAGTCAATGGGTGTCACTAGAAATGACAAGGAAAGCTTTAATATATTATCTTTAATGGCTAGAGAGGTGAAAAATATCAAATGACACTATGTACTGTATTTTCTTATCTACTGAATATTATATGTAATGCCTGTCTATATCTATTTATATTAAACTCATATTCACAGAGATGTTTCACAGAGACATAGAAACACATCCTTCATTGTAAACAACACCAGTATCTAAATATTTATTATACATATTAACATTTGTCAGCTATTTTTTGATCCACGGATATGCTTTCCAAGTATCAAAGTTAATCCAGATACAGAATTAGGGTGTGTCTAGACTACTGAGTTTTGTCGACAAAAGTGGACTTTTGTCGACAAAACTATACCTGCGTCTACACTACCGCTGAGTTCTGTCGACATAACGTCGACAGAACTCAGCAGTTTTGTCGACGCTGGTAAACCTCATTTTACGAGGCATAACGCCTTCTGTCGACAGAGTTCTGTCGACAGAAGGTGTTATTGCATGTAAACTGTCCTTTGCGTCTACACTACCATGTCGACAAAGCAGCTTGCTTTGTCAACAGAACGCAATGTAGTCTAGACCAGATACTGTCGACAAAACTTCTGTCGACAAAACCCTGTAGTCTAGACGTACCCTTATTGAGTTTACTAGTAAACTGGACCTGTGGTATCTCAGGTAGGTGTATACTTTAATTCAAAAAGCATCTATGTATGGTGAATTATTATTATTCACTTTTTTAAGTTCGTCCCAAGCATAGTTATAAACCCCAAACAAAACACTTTAAAAATGTTTTGTTTGCTCATGTGTGTACACCACCACATAAGAGTAAAAGAACAGGCAATCAGCTGTTATGTATGTGCTCACTCAACACATGAAATATACAGGATGGACCTCCCTGGTCCAGTACCCTTGGAACTTAGTGGTCCTGAATCAAGGAGTTTGCTGGACCAGGCGAGGTAAATGCTCCTGTGCTAGTTGCCCTCCCCAACCCTATCCCTCCTCTGAGGCTCCCTTACAGACCATCAGACTCACTCCTGGCCATCTGCTCCAGCCATTGGGTTTGCTTCAGTCCAGAAGCATTCCCTGCCACTGGTCAACCCTGCTGCTGGCCTGGCTCTTCTCCCAGCTGCTGGCCCCCTCCTGTTGCCAGCCCAGCTGCACTTCCTGGAGGTCCTGGCCACTGGCCCCCTTCCAGCCAGCTCAGCTGTTGCTTCTGATGCTGGCCAGGGCTCTCAGGCACTGGCCCTCCTGCCAGCTCACCCAGGTGCAGATTCTAGACCGGCTGCACTCTTGGCTCTGACTGGGCTCCTGGCCACCCCCTGTGGTTGTGCCCCCTCCCTCCCTGCCAGCCAGCCCCTGCTCCCAGCCATTGAGGTTCTCTGATTGAGCAACATCCATGTTCCTGCTGGACCACACATGTTGTCAGTCTACAGAGTGCCAGATTTCAGAGGTTTAACATGTACCACAAGTTGGGAAATGTTTAAAAAATAAGAAAAGCGTATCCGACTCAAATTGCCTGGTCAAAGAGGCCACATTTCAGGAATAAATGACTATTCATTTATGTTAGCAAACTGAGGTTTAGTTTCAGGTACTTAAATACAAAACAGGGATTTTTTTAAATCAATTTAAGGCCAAATTCCAATGCAATGTTAACTACAGACTGGCTACCAGTGCCTCTACGATAACGACTGAAAATATTCGTTAACATTGAGTTCTAGCTGCAAGAGTCTAGCTATTTCAGAATCCTTATGTGCCATGAATAACAGTCAAATAACTATATAATTTGTAGTACTTACCCTTGAAGTGCTTTTTCTCCAAACCAATCTCCTTTCCCTAAAGTGCGGAGAAAAATTGGCTCTTCACTGGGAGAATCTTCACGAGTAACATTTACCTGTGGAAAAGAAACACACAAAACAAAACCTCAAGATTTTACTAATAAAGCCTACTATTTTCAGGATGTATGAGTCATCTCATGGTGATTTCAGTTAATGCTCTGGGGGGTCTGCTTCTCCTATTCAGACCATCCATTATGCCGAATACCAGGGTCTTAACTTTTTGCTCGTCATTCATTCTGCAGATATGCCTGAATAGCTGTAACTTCCATTGTATAAACTTCTGCAGTAGGTTCTCTTTTGGCTGAATCTTCCTATATAATTTCTTGTTGGTGACTTTCTTCATCCATCCTATTCTTGGGATCTTTCTTCTAGATTTAACGAGAGTTAACTCTGAATAATACTTTAAAATGAGCAGAGTAAGAAAGAATGTTGGTCAAAGTGCAAGATCCAGTGCAAGAAATTTAGTGGGAAGAGACAATGGCAACATTTCACCCTTAGATCAAATTTGCAAATCATTCTTGCATTTTGTGGAAATCTCAGGTTTTGCACATGCAAATTCACATAGCAATTTGGGATTTCACATAATTTAATTTAGTTCGGTGTTGGGGGATTTGGAAAACTTTCTAGTTTGAGATCATGGTGAAAACCCCCTAAAACATTCCCTCTGCTTTCTCCTTTCTCTCATCATGGTGAAAACCCCCTAAAACTCCCAAAACATTCCCTCTGCTTTCTCCTTTCTCTTACAGAAGCTCAACATAGTAGTGTTGAATCATTACTGAGCACTCTGCCTACAATACACTTTTTCAGTGACTCATCAAAGATCAGATGAGGGTAGCAGGGAAAGTGTAACAGATCAAATAGAACTGTTTGTAGCAGATGACAAAAAACTGAGCAAGTAAAGGAAGCCTTTTTATGTTTTAATCTATTTCTTTGTGAGCCTCTGTGCCTCCTAGGAAAGAAATGCCAAGGGATTATAGGGCTACCACCCAGTTTAAAGTGATGATACCCATTAATCACCAGATAATATGACATCAATGATGCACCTGTTAAATTTGTGACATTGATTTTTACAGGAAAATGGCATGCAGCAGCACAGCATGGCACATGATCTCACTGTATTGACCGAGCACTGACCAGTGCCAGACGATCAGCATGTGGTGAGTAGTAGAGTGCAAACTATTGATAGTAAACAATTTATTCACCTTGCAGCGTCCTGGCAGCAGGGCTCCAGCCTCTGCCTGAACATCTAGACTGCAATTAAACAGTCCCTTAGCTCAAGCCCTGCAAACTGGTCCCAGCTGGTATAGGACAGCCTCAGGCTTCTAATTGCAGTGTAGATATACCCTGGGAGACCAAAGGAGTAATTTTTGAAAGAAGGTAGGTTGCCAGGATTAAGGGATTTTAGGACCCTTCTTGATCAGCTAAACCAGGTTTTGCTGCTCAAAATTTCACTGCTGGACACACTGAACTATATGAAAATCAGAAATTGGAAAGCACTTTACAACTAATGATCTCTGATAATATATAAGCCCAATAATTGCATGGAGCATGTACATGCCCAGGTATGTGGGGCTGGAGTCAGATCCTTGTTTGGTTTTTTAACTATCTGGTGCAGAGTTCAGTTTGAGATGGTATGTGGCCACATTTGTAAAAGGTCCAGGCATACTCTAATCTATTTTATTTAACTGTTTTAGTGCCCGGGCTCTGGCACGGAGTTCTCGGAACTCAGGCCTATGCTGTGTTGTTGTCATGGCATTGTTCCCATACACAGCAGAGATTTTGTATACTTGCCAAAAGCATTTATTAAATTTACTGATCTTCAGTTTCTGCTATCCATCATCTTCCACCAGAGTCCTTTCAGGAAATATAGAGTAGTGGGGTGGACACGTGTAACTCACACACCTGGTGGAGTATTTGGGGTAATATGGGGTGGACACGTGTAACTCACACACCTGGTGTGGTTCACTGTCCCATGCAGTGGCACCTAGACCACAGCAACAGAAAAGAACAAAAGACCTCTACAGCATGGACTGAGAGCCAGCTGGCTTCTAGCTCAGAGGCAGATACTCCTGTACTAAGTTCCAGAAATCCCAGATTCAAATCCACCTTGTGGAGATGCTCAGAGGCAGATGCTCCTGTACTAAGTTCCAGAAATCCCAGATTCAAATCCACCTTGTGGTGGTTACACATGCACACAGTATCCATGTCATTCTGAGTACAGAGGATGGAGTGCAGCCTGCTTTGAGTAAAGGATGACACAGATTAGGTCAGCATGTCAGACTGTGTCTGGAGAGGAATGCTCATGTGGGGATCTTGTGTGTCATGGTTTTCTTCTTCAGAGAATCCTTCACCAGGGATGTCAGGTCTCTAATTTTCAACTTGAATGCCTGGAGGCACTTCTCAGAACTGCTGAACAGGTTGTTAAAAGTCAAAACAGCAATGCAGTGGGACTAAAGCAGGGTCCCTCTCTGGCTCCTATATGTAGGGGCTACCATGGGGTGCCGCATACTGTTCTTGCCCCAAGTGCCTGCTCTGCAGCTCCCATTGGCTGGAAACCATTGAATAGGAGCTGGAAGGAGGATGTGCTGCTGCTTCTGGGAGCTGTTTGAGGTAAGTGCCACCCAAAACCTACATCACTGAGGCCCTCCTTACACTCCAACCCTGATCCCCTCTAACCCTTTAAATCACTCAGCTTCAGCCCCAAACCCCCAAGTCCCTAATCCATAGCTTTACCTCAGACCCTACACGCCTCTCACATCCTAACCCAGTACCTCAACCCAGAGCCCCTTCCCACATCCTGTACTCCTTACTTGTGGCCTTACCCCAGATCCTGTATCCTCAGCCAGAGTTCTCATCCCTTCTTATGCCCCAGCCCCCTGCCCCAGCCTGGTAAAAATGAGTGAGTGAAGGAGGGTGAGGAGAGTGAGCAACAGAGGAAGGGGAGTGAATGGGGGACCCAGAGAGTGGGAATCTCCTGAGAGAAGAGATGGGATGGAGCGGTACAGATCAGACGAAGGGTACTTGGTTTTATGTGAGAAAGTTGGCAACCCCATAGGGATACCAGTTACCCCAGGCATGAGAGTATCATGAGGGATATGGTGGGAGAAAACCAGGAAAAGGAGTGGGAGGATAAGATGAAGGAACTTTCTGAGCACTCATAATGCATACATGCATATCACATAATTTTCTCCACCAGTGACAGACTTATTCACAAAGAAAATACACACTGTTTTTTCCTCCTTTTAATGAACATTTGACTTAAATTGTTTGATACATATTGGTTTCAGAGACAGTCGGGATGAGCAAGATAGCTTTAGAATGGAACTGTCACATGCTCTCTCAGAAGACATACCAGAATGTGTGTCAGTCACATCAGCACTAACTAAACAACACTCTTCCCATATCAAATGTCCAGGGTTTGGGGTTTGTTTTTTGTTGTTTTATTATAAAAGGTAACAACACTTGCATTAACCTGTGACTTTATGCAAATAGGAGAACTTTAAATCAAAGTTTGGGATTAATCCATCCAATTAATTTGTCCCTCTGTTTAGTTTTATCTGTTTTTTCAGTATGTACGTATTTTTTGCAGTGGGAAATCAGTGTATTCTCTTGAACATCTGCAACCTACTATGGCAAGGAGCAGCATATTTGTCTAGCTTAACACTAAATAATATGGAATTTTCAAAGGATAAAAAAAAACAGTGGATCTGGCTTGTGACCACCTGGCCTCTCCATCATCCCCAGGCCAATTTAGTCCTGGGAGAAGAGGGAGCACGCAAAGTCTCCTCCCGCTGCGTTGCCTACATGGAACTGACAGCTGTTTTAAAATGGCTGGCAATTCTCTCTAGGTGGTGGGGGGCAAAGACTTCATGCACTTCCCCACCCCCAAGCCAATCAAGGCCTATGGGCAAGGGAGCACAAGACTTATCTTGGCCCCGCCCATTGCACCCAAGACCCCTCCCCTCACAGGGCAGACCAGGGCCACTTTAGAAATTTTTGAAGTAACCCCCTTTTAAAAATTATTTCCCATCCTTTGTCTAAAGCTACCAAGATTTTGAAGATAAACAAAGAGATTAAAAGCATGCCTCCCCTCCCTTGTAGCTTGCTAACTAGAGGTTTAGCATCAAACCAAGCACCAAATTTAGTAAATTTTCAATGGAAAGATGGTATATTTTATTTTAGTTCAGAAAGACAGTATAGCAGTTCTGGGGTCCCCATAATTTAAATCTTAACACAGATAAGTTTTTGGTCAGGGTTTATTTGTTCCATCCATCTATAGTGTAAATATACAGGGGCTATGGCAATACTAAAACATAATAATAATATTTAGAGCAAGAGATTAAAACATATATTTCCCATCAAAATCTAGTCCAACTTCATACTGACTAAATGTAACTCAATAGCAGTTATGTTTCATTCTTAGAAGGCATATATCCCCACAAGTCCTACCAACATAAAGGGCACCCATGTTGGCAGTCTTAGGTTATGTCTCTTCTTGAAATGCTTGCAAAGAAAGTCTTGAGCTAGCTGATCATGCAACCAAGATGACTTAACAATTGATTTCATGAACCAAAAAGTGTTCATTGTTAGTAGGTGTAAAACAGTGTGTGAGATCTGTCTTTGGTGTGTGTGTGTGTGAATTCTTTTTCTTTAGGTCATTCTCCCCTCCTGACACTATCAAGAAGTTTAATTAAATGTGAAATGTTGTAATGTTTGTTGCCCTGCAAGAAAAGAATTGATTGGCACTGCATTCCCAGAGTTACACCATCATTGAATATGACATTTGCTTTGAAAGGAGTAACAACAACTTACCTTTCCTTTGCTGATTATAAAGAAAGTGTCCCCTCGGGCACCTTGCCTGATAATGTACTCTCCATTTTCATAGTGTGTCTGCAGGAAAATTAACAAGAACAAAAGGAATCAGATTGTCATTCAGTTTGCAGTCCAGCAGTTTCACAAGATAAGGCAGGAGGAGGCAGGAAGGTTGAATATGTTTTATCCAAGCCTGACATCTGTCATGAGTTAAAAATTATCCTACGCCAAGAAATATAACAGTGGAAAATAAATCATTTATCCTACCCATTTTTCTTATTATTTTGTTAGTGCTAGTTTTTGTCTGGATGCCTTATCCTTAGGCCCTCAATCCAAGTATCATAACTGAACAAAACACAAGAATTTTTCAGCAGAGCATCAAGTATAATCTTAAGCTATGGTACTAAACTGCTTGTAACAGTTGTCCTTTCCAAATATTTTTATTTGTGTTTTGTGGTGTTCATTTTATTTTATCAGTGGCTTTATTTAGAAGTTGTTACTTTAAATCAGTTTAATTATTAGTCTGGATTTGTTGACCCTAGTTTATAGAAAAAAATCACTGCTAATATTCCATCCTATCCAATTGGAGTGAAATCTAAATGTGGGCTAAAGGAAATTCCTTGTGTTACACCAATCACTGTAATAATATTGGGGTGAATTTAGACCAATAAAAGCCAGTATGTTCCAAACTAAGTTCCTAAATCCATATTTGATTGGATAACTGACACAATTTTCAGAGGTGTTGGGCATCAGCAGCACAAATTAACTACAGATATCAATAACAGGCAAATGCGGTCATGTCAAGTGACAGCATCCTACCTAAAATTCTGACCTAATTTCCCTCAGGTTAAATAAATGATGGTGGCCTTATTAAGCTTTTGTGGTGAATGTAATACTGATTGCTATATTCAGATCTCTTGTGCTTCCCCAAATTGTGGTATGACCCTTTGAAACAAGTAAGTTGTAATGAATGTGTTGTTTGAACACTGCAATTCCCAGTCAAGACTGTCAGATCTTCTATGTTCTCAAAGTAGTATATCAGCAGAAGCTTGGGTGGGAATGACTTAACTCAAGATGAAGGAATTGATCTGAACCTTCTAAATGGGCTGAGGCTTGGAAAGATCCTTATTTTCCCCCAAAGCAGTTTGTTGATCTGTCATTTTCACCTTCAGTCTTTTTGGTCTCTTTTGTACTCAGATGACAACACTCTACCATGAAAAAGGCTTCAGGTAAAATACTGAAGATAGCTGAGAAAAAGTGCTTAATTTAAAAGCTAATAAATGTAAAATAAAATATCTCTAGTGGGACAGGCAAATATGCATGCTTAATTAAACAGTAACTCAATTAACAAAGATATTTATTCCTAAAAAGCAATTAGTTTGAGTCTGCAGAGGTTTGTGCAATGTGCATTGATGGATCCTGATACAAAAGCTAGAGGAAACTGAAAATTTGAGCATCAGTAGGTAATGCCAGTGTCTGAATATTCTTTACAATCTAAAGGAAAAATACAATAAAAATGGCATTAGTTTACAGTCAGTCACCATTGTTAAATAATTCTCATGACTCTTCAGGAAGGGAAAATCCATGAAAGTATTATTTTGGAATCTGTGTATAAGGCTATGGCTTCTGGCAAGTCTACCGTGAGCCTCTGAATTTGGGAGCGGAACACTTTTTGTGCCCCATGTAGAAAAGTTGGAAGAACAACAATGTTTAAGAGGAATCCATGAGACTCTGCAAGAACAAGCTCAGGATCTACCAGATCCTGACACAAGAATGACTTGAGAATGCATGAAGATTTGCATGAACAACTTGAGACCTTTGTAGGGGCCCAACTGTAGAAAGCTTGGAGCACTATTCTCTGAAAATCTAACGCCTTGCTGATTCCTCAAATCAGGAATATCATTAGTCACTGAAATGTTGGCCAAAGAGTTTCCAGAACTTCTTTCTGGAAAACTATTCTTCACAATATAACTGGTGCACTGGATCCCTATTAAATCTATGAACAGAAAGACTGAAAACAAAAATGCCAAGAGAGATATGACCTTTCCTTGGCCTTTGAAAGGTGTTGGTAAAAGTGACTGGGATGAACAATCACAAAACATCTACACATGACTGATTTTTTCTAAAAGAGTTTTTTACCTGCTTCAAATAAATCTCTCTATGCTGAGCAATGCTCAGGTGAAATTCTAGTAATACTGAGGGCACTGAACAATTGCATTTAATTCTAATGCTTCCTATTTTTTATGATCCTTCTACCTGCCGCTAATCCTTCAACTATTGATCATATACCTTTAACTGCATGTCTCTCCCTGCTTCCTCTTTTATCCCCTCATTGTCAACAAATCTCAGTTTTTATGTTCTCTGTCATCTGTTCAACCTCTTCTTGATATTCAGAGTGTATCACAGCTCATCGTAGAAGTCTGACAAACACTTAACTGACTGAGACTTCTTCTAGGATTGTTATTTTTCTGGACTTGCTCTAAAGGACCTTATTCACTAATTTTTAAGAGATGCTCTCTAGTAAAATGTTTAGAGCCAGTCTATTTGGAAAGGGGTCCTTTAAAATAAACAAACATTTAGCATTTATACAATTATTTTTATCTTCCAAGACTACTACACATATTAAATAAACAATCCACAAAACAGCAGAACAAGACATGTAAATAAGCATTAATATCCACATTTTATGGTTGGAAAATTGAAGCATTATGATTATCTGCTTTGTCCAAGACCACAAAGAGAGTCAGCACCAGTCAGTCTTAGAACTAAGTTTTTCATTTTTCAGACACTGCCTTACTCCTTATTTACACTGCAGTTAGATAGAGAAATTGGACAGGAGCAGTATATCAACAACTGCACTTTTCAGAGGGCATATCCAAGGTGGTAAAGAGAGCTAATTCACCCTCTTATATAATATGAAAACGGAGTGTTGTTTAGGAGATTAAGGCAGCGATTCCCAAACTTTCATACATGGGGACCAGTAAATCCATTCACGAACTTTTGGAGAACCGTAACGTTTATTTGCATGTTCATTAATCAAATGATGAATATTCAAATAAGTTGTTTCTGGTCCTCCCAAAGCCCCCAGTGCCAGCTTTAGCAAAGTTTTTGATATGGTCACCCAGAATATTCTTGCCATCAAGTTAAAGAATATGGATTGGATAAATGGACTGTAAGACAGACAGAAAGCTGGTTAGAACAGGGTTTCCCAAACTTTTTACTTTAGTTGGAACCCTTTTTTTTCAGTACTGTTTTTTGCAGCCTAAAAATATAAACACATAAAAAACAAACTGAGAAAATACCAGACATATAACATGGTCTGGTATTTTCTTATTAGGTACGTTTTATTATTATTAGCTGTATCAGTTTGTAGTTTGGAACTGCCTGGCTGGTAAATGTGCTCAGGCTGCATGAGTGTGTCTACCAGCCAGACAGTTCGCAACTACTCAAGGGGATGGGGGTGGGGGCACAATAGAATCCCCAGGCCAGACTCATTCGGGCTTTGCAGGGGGTGGGGGAGCGCCCCGAGAGCTACGTATGGCCGGGTCAGTCCCGCTCCCCCTCTGGCCAGCCCCACTTCCCCCAACCCCCTCCCGGACAGCCAGTTCTCCCCCGCTTCTTCTCCCAATCTCCCTTGGCCAGCCCCACTGCCCATGTCCAGCCCTCCTTCCGGCGGCCGCCTCTCCCCCCCACACCTCTACCCCCACATCTTCCCTGGCCAGCTCCCTAACCCCAACCTCGCGCTCCCCGGCAGCCCTGCTTCTGCCCGCCCCCCCAATCTCTCCTGGCCAGCTCCGATGCCCCAGGCAAGCCCTGCTTCCGGGAGCTGCTTCTCCCCTACTCCTCCTCCCAATTTCCTGGCCAGCCCCCTGCCACCCGGCCAGCTCTGCTTCCGCTGGCTGCCCCCCACCCCAAATCTCCAAAGTCCACCCCAATTCCCCTGTCAGTGCTGCTTCCAGTGGCCGGTTCTCTCCCCTCTCCTGACCTCCCCTAGCTACACCTCTGCCGGGAGCCGGAACATCGGGCTGCAGGTTATGCCCAGGCTGGTCAAGGGCCTGGAGGACCCGGAACCACACGGGCACTCCGGGAGCCCAGAACACCCCAGCAACCATGCCGAGGCCCGGTATTTTTTTTCCTGCATCCCGGTACTGGGCCGTGGACCATAGTTTGGGAAATGCTGAATTAAGGTATATCTTCTAGGCGGGAGAATAATTCAAGACACAGATTAATCAGAACATTAATTTTAAAATGTTATTAAAACAGAACATAGTATATAAATATTTAACAACAGCTCTTTAACAACATGGGCCAATTTCTGCAAACCCTTAGTCATGCAAACAACATTTATTCCTGAGCTAGTCCCACTGACAAATGGAACTGCTTGTGAGATCAAGAATTACTTGTATGACTAAAAGTTTGGAGGATCAACTCCAGGATTTATTTATTTCCCATATAATCTCCATGAGGTCCAAAAAGAGATAGATATGCATTCACTTAACACTTCTCCCACCCAGTGTGTGAATACTCACTCTCCACCTCTGTTTACTATGTGCCTGACCAGTCCTAACTCTAGGAAATCCAGTGACTCAGAGTGCTCTACAGAATCTAGGAGAAAGAGCCCAAACTACTCAAGATACTTAAGACTAAAGCAGACTATGAAGAGCTTCAAAAAGATCTCACGAAACTAAGCGATTGGGCAACAAAATGGCAAATTAAATTTAATGTTCATAAAGGTAATGTATGCCATTACATACTGTCATACTCTACCTTCAGACAAGGGATATAAAATAGGTTTAAGTCCAGACAAGGAGTATAAAGTGGGTTTAAGTGTCACTAAGTTCCTTCAATACTCAGAATCCTTTGAAATAAGTGAAGTTTGAAGAAGGAACAGGAGCTTCTTCCCTTAGGAGAATTTCAGAGTCAGATGCTCCTCATGAACTTTTCCAATTTTAAATGCACCTTTGCTGGCTTTCTATGTGTGCTTTGAAAAATATTTACAGACTGCATAGATGGGATGGTGGGAACTTGACGTGTTCAACATTTAAGGGGAGTGTCCATCATTCATAGGGATTGTCAAG